AATAAAACCGCCGGTATACCGCGGTACTCAATAAAACCGTCGGTATACCGCCGGTGTACCGGCGGTTTCTTAAAGTACCGCGGTATACCGGCGGTAGTTCATGTAAATGTGCGACATGGGAAGTCTTTCCCAACTGAACGAGATATCTTGCATAATGAAAAAAAAGCTATTTAAATAGCTTATTTCTTCAACGTAAACTAAATTCTAAGTTTCAGAAGACACGATTTTCCACTTGATAATTCTCACATGTTAAACTGAGTTAGATTCAGTCATGAATGATGAATTTCAGGATTCAAATGTTAATATAAATGGGACTATAGAAAAGAAAAAAACTATATCAGTTACAGCTTTCACACAAAATGATGATAATAGAAAAAATTTTTAAAATCTGTGATATGTGCATTTAAACGTCAAAAAATGCCTTCCGAATTTTTTTCCAAAATAATGTGAAAAAAATTGCGATTTTTCCAATTTCTTTATTGTAAAATTCCAATTTACAACTTTTCAATCCGGCAACCCTGCTTTGTACCTATTATTTTTACATTTCAGATTACTTTTAGCTTAGATATTTTCAGAAAATTGTTTTTCATGTAACTCGCCGAGCTGTATTCGACCATGCTGCAAAAAGAAAAAAAAAACAATACGTCTAAAATTTAAAAGTGTGATCGCATAACATAAATTGCTAATCTCTTAAAATTCTGATTATCTTAATCAATGCATGTTATTGGCAGTCGATAATTTGAAATATTTAGCTTGACTACAAGAGCATTCATTTTATCTCAATATGATTAATCTACTTAACATACAGTAAATATTATTCGACTGTGAGTGACGTTCAAAAAAAAGGACACTTATTGATAAAACATCGCTGAAGATTAAACAGTTACTCATTCAACAATTTTTTCTTTGTTTTTACCCTTGCTTAACACAAATTAGTAGGAGTAAGTGAGTATCTGAATGTTTATTAAAGAGGTAAAAGCCATTATTAAATACTGATCGAAATCTCTAAATACTCAGTGAGACTGATTGATAGTAACATGAAATATATTGCAAACATCTTTACCGTTACAAGTCAGAAAATGAAAGATGTATAAGTTACTCTTATTTCTAGCTTCAATAATGACGTTGAAGCTCGAAAATCGTGCTTAGATTAGGTAGCTCGACAGTTAGCAATATAGAAAATACTTGAATTGCTATGTAAGGCTATTAAACAGCTATGAATATCTATTAAATATCATTGGAAATGTGTAGGTAGTCGTTACAATGAAGAAACTATACCATTTAGGATAAAGAGAATCACAAATAATTCAATATGTATTATAATGAATTATGTCTATAGAAGGCACTCTTAAGCATACCTGTTAGCTCTCGCTATCAGTGTTCTCTATACAAAATTGTATATCTTTTGAGCATGAACTCCGACAAACTATGCATTCAAAATACAAATAGCTTGTCACTTTCGTCATCGAATAGTATATACATCTAAATGGTATCCCGGTAGTGTGCATGATTTTACCATACTAAGAGAGTCGGATTTATTAGACTATACACAAGGCGATGTGCTAATTATTACTGATAACGAATATATTGGTGAAAAGTGCTTGATCACTCCAAAACAAAGAAACCTTGTAATGATGAATTGACAGTTGAAGACAAATATTTCAATCGGTCTATTGGTAGTGCTAGAAGCGCTTTTGAAAACCTTGATCAACGTATTAAAAATTATTCTACTTTAGCAAATGTTTACAGAGGACATTATAATGATTTTGGAAAAATTACAAAAATTGCACACATTGTCACTGTTGTATACATTCTTCACTTGTGTGAACATCTTATTCATAATCAACAATCATAATATATTATTCGTAGTTTCTGATCGATTATTTTAATAAAAAGTTGTCAGAGGTATTTCCTGATGTTTCAACTACCACGTACGAGTTACAAGGAGTGACTTTGATAATAAAAAAATTCAGAAAAAATCTTATGAAAATGCTTAATTATTTTGGTTTTATACAAGATATGTTATTCAGACGACATTAAATCATCAGTACGACATAATCTTTATAACTGATAAAAAGAACATATTTTTCTGATGCATTATAGAAGCTACATGATAAAATAAGAGTTGGAACATATGACCAGATGGGGTATCCCCATATATTTATAAATATATGGTTCTGTTTATTTTAAATGAGAAGAATAAAAGAAGAAAAAAACAGGAGAAGGCTAGCGCTGACGGACTATCAATTTCGTTCTATGAGTTCTTTGAAATATTTGTTTTGTTTTGTTTTAGTGCAAGATTATGTTAATTTCAATTCTGCTAACTTGTACCAGCGAATTGTGCATCACTAATGAGTCTTGCATTTGTACTATTTGCTAATATCCAATCAGTTGATTGAAGACAACTTCGATATGCACTATAGACACTGTAATTACCCCACAAACTATCTCCACGGACACCACCAAATATTGCCCAATCAGTTTCTTTCTCTGTATTAAAATATGAAGCCATTTTAATTTGTTTATTATTCATATATGTGCAAAACTGTTGTAACCAATCACTTTTTGCTGTTATATTCGGAGTATTTCCAATACGCATACTTGTTGATGCATACTCATTTATACATATTGGTTTTGTTGAAGATAAGTTTTTTAATCGTGTTATCATATTGTCGAATACTTGATTCGGAGTTAACCATGAACTCCAACTTTGACTTGTACCAAAATTGTACCCGTCGATTCCCATCCAATCAACATAATTTTCTCCGACCCAGTAATTCTCAGCTGCGTAACCACCAACATCAGCATTATTCACGCACCAAATCCATTGAAGTCTGGTCGAACCTAAACTTTTATTTGCGAATATATCATGTATACGACGCCATGCCAATATAAAATCCTGTGGAGTGGAACCCATCGACCATGGATACCAATTACCATTCATTTCATGTGCTAAAATTATGCGATAAAAAGTTTTTATTCGAATGTAGTTCACAGAAACCAATCAATAACATTTTGAATCAATTAAGTGAATTAGAAATACTATGCTAAAAAAATATTCCCATAAGGTTTGTACAAATTCATGCAAAATTATCTCCTTAAAACATCTCAGAAAGCGAGTAGTCATACTTTCTTATCAAAGGACTAATTACGTTTGCTCATTTCCACATGCTTTCTGAAACCGAATTATTTCACAATGATTGCCTTTTCGATCTCTACATGTGTTAAAACATTCTATATTTCCAAACGGAACTTTTGCAGAGATTGGTAGGAACCACCGAAAAAATGCATTTTCTGATAGTTTCGTCACTTTCTACGTTGAGAGTGAAATTTTATGTGCATTAATATCTACATTAAGTCCGAGCTTGTGGAAACTAAGACGGTAGTCATTTTAGAATATATAGCTGTGGGTCTGAGTAGACTGATATAATGGAATGCGGGTCGAAAATCGATAAGATAACCTGACCGTTTTCTTTCCTAAACGCTAACATGTTATATCAAATCCAATATGCTGATATGAGCATGTAAGATATCCAGTCAATCACATCCAACCTCATAGCAACACCCACATTTCTGATGGTCAAAGTGTTCCATCTAAGTATTTACTTAATGAAATAATTAAATAGCTGACAATCTAAAACCAGTAGTATCAAAATGTTGAAATCGGTGCTTTACTCAGGCTTTCGTTTCAGAATGAGCAATTTGAGGCTTCGATGGAATGTTCGCTCATTTTACAGAAGACAACTGTATTAGGGGTGTCGGCTTAACATTAGCATTGCATTAAATAATGCTTAATTTAATGCTTTTGTATTAGAATTAAAAAAATAATTTTAATACTTTGTATTAGAATTAAAAAAATAATTTTAATACTTTGTATTAGAATTAAAAAATTAATTCAATGCTTCAGCATTAGTCTTAAATTAGCATTAGGATAACGCTAATATTTA